TATATATATATATATATATATATATATATATATATATATATATATATATATATATATATATATATATATATATATATATACACGGCCATGTTGTGCCTATAGTGCCAGCGGCGTGTCTGGAGTGTATTTTTTTGTTGTGACAGACCTTTCTTTGTTTCGTGGGTGAGGAAAGAGGAAAGAGAGGGCGAAACAGATTTGTCGCAGCCAAGAAAGCACCCGATATCAACGCATGACACACAATATCAACGCATGACACTGAGCAATCTTTGGCCAAAGCCAAAGAGGGCCAACATCCGATAGATTGAAAGAATTAAAAACAACATCGTCTCCCAACTCCCACCATAGCCGTCAGATAGAATCGAGACATACACCGCACAGACGTCCTTAAAGTTGCCGATGCCCTGACATTCCCCAACGCGTTTTTGCCGGCGCCAGGTCCGGCTTCGTCAGGGGGTTAGGCTCCTCCTTTGTGAATCGGCGACGGACAACCGTTAATTACGATTGTCGTCGCCATTATTCTAGATTATTCCTAGCCCTTCCCTAAGTTCCCTTATCTCTACCCTATGTCCCGATACCTTTCCCACTCCGAGGCCCTTCTGTCCACAAATTTCGCCAACACTTCAGAAAAGAAAGGGCTCGGATATTCGAGCAACCTCAGTTCACGTTGAAGCGACAGTAGAGGAAGCTCAGCCAGACCCGTAGTCGAAGTACAAGTTCGAATCCTGTAAAAAACACACTATTTACTACTGCCTTCTTCTGCTTAAGATCCGAGTACGATCCGAACCCCTGCATAGACCTATACGAAAAGTCTGCAGACCTGATATTGTCCTCATTTTTCCCTTTGTACCTAATCTGAATACGGTTCGGGTTCTTGCAAATGCTCAGTTCACAGCCTAGGAAAACCCAGGTCCCTTCCCCTGTGTCCGTTCTAATCAGTTCCAAATTGCTGTCATACATCCTTCCTAGTTTTTATGCTACTGCATCGGCCCTTTGGGCTCCATTTTTTGTATCCCCTTCCGAAATAAAAATCGACAGATCATCAACCAAACGAATACCTTGAACCAGATTCTTGTCCCTTCCCAAGGACTCCAGAAAGCTAACTTCATTGAATATGCACATAAGACAGGCCAAAGGGGGGCTTGTGGATTTCTCCATGGGCACCCCCTTAACCTGCCTCAAAACTCGACCTGCCGCTATCAGGAAAGTATGTTGTAGCTCGTATTTGACGTAACAGACAACCTGTTCAATGCTGACAAACATCCAATCCTCTCCTCTTTGCTTGGCAAATGAAACCCCTTTCCCTCTCTTTTTCACAAAAACTCCCTTCCTTCCCTTCCTCTTCATGGCTCCTTCCAACCAGGCAACAGACTGAAGGATGGAGGAGTGCGGGAGTTCATTAAACATTTCTTTAATATCATAAGCCAATCCTCTTATGCATCCCCTCCTCCCCTTAGCCTGCGCCCATTTCGAGATTTTTTCCACCTTCCCTTTCAAGTCCCCCACCGATCTCAAGTTAAAGTGACTTGACGGTGCTAGAAGCAGCAACAGCGCGTTCAATGCTCTAGCTACCCTACCACTTGCCTACTTCGACGGTTAAGAGAAGGTAGGTGTGATTGGACGAAACCTCTTAAAATCTTTATTCTTTGGCACAACATAGGCATTACCCAACGTCCCTTTCCTGTCCCATTTCCCCAGACTCCCAAATCCTTGCTTGTTATACTCCTTCCTACACAGCTCCAAGACTACTCTCTCTTTCTCCACAACTGCTTCGAAACTCTCCTTTCCCCATAAGAGATCCCTCATTCCTTCGGCGTACCTATTTGGACACATAATCAGTGTTTCTGTTGGGTTCTTATCCAGGGGGACACGCACATAATTAACCAAGATCTTCTTCCATAACTCAACACTACCAAAGGTCGTTCGGTTCTTCTCCCCTTTCCCCGGGTCCGTCAACACCCCCTCAATCTCCATTGGCGTAACCCATCGAGTCAGTCCATACAGCAGAAAACTGTCGTTAATCTCCTTAGTAACCCCCTTAACCAATCCCAGCCCTTCTCTCTTAAATACATTCTTAGCGTTAATCAAAGTAGCCGGGGCCACAGCAACGGAGCTTAGTTTGCAGGTCACATGTCCTTCCAGCTTCGAAAGGTTCGAGTCATCACAAGGGCAAACTCCTACCACATTCCGCGCAGCAGTTCTGTGGTTCTGCAGAGCTTGACCGACGGTAGGATTACGTTTCCATACCACCCTCAAGCGCCTGCAAATGATCTTGCTTACACACTCCGGATACTGTTCCCTAATCCTATCCTTCACTAAATCGCAAACTTTCCTCTTGGAAGATTTATCATTGACTGTAACACCTATAACTACCCTTCTCCTAATTCTTACCCCAAACATCTTCCGAATGACCCCATCCAAAATACCTTTGACTTTACCCCTTGTCGACTTTTTCGAGAAAGTCCTCGCAGTCTGAAACAACCGGACAAGATCCTCCAAATGCAATTTAAACAGATTCTTAACAGACCAAGGGACCGAAAGAAGCCTAATCAGGAGTCTCTTGTCACTAGTCAGCCCTGGTTTACCTTGAACGATCCGAACCACTCGAAAATCGCCACCTTCCTGGAAGCTTTTTTTGCATTCCTTAAGGAACTGAGCTTTGCCATTCTTGCGCAACACAGAGTCACCGTACTTTCTCTTCATCACCGACCACTTAGCAACCCATAGACTACCTTTGGACGAAGAGAACTCTTTCGGTCTTTCCTTCAATAGGTAATCCAAATCATAGAACTCCCTTCCC